ATGAGCGGTGGACAGTAAGTTTCTGATGTGATGTTTTCTGTCTGCTACGTCTAGCTTTTGTCCAAAGTAAAACTGTTAACTGGACATAAATAGTATTTCATTCCTTTGTCTCCTGGGCTGTCAGCCGCAGTGTTTATCAGTCATTCAGTAATGCTACCAGTCGCCTGAATCTTTGTTCCTTCGAATCTTTGTTCTTGCAGCTTTTGCGTTCTTCCGCATTTTGCCAGAGGAAAATGAGTGTCAGAGAGGTAGCAAGACCCTGTTTCTGTACCTGTAGGTAGAATTTGGTAAAGCCACATGAAAACCCAAGTCCATCTGCTTCTAGGGCCCTCGGACAATTACTGCTCTGTACTGGGTTTGAAGAAACTAATTCCATTTACAATCTTCCCATGAGTCTCTGCAGCCAAAGTGTAGTAAGTGGATTTAAGGACTTCCTTCGGGCATGAAGTGTGACTTCAGGATTCTGCAGTGCAGCCTGATGCTGGGATGGGGCGTGGGGTGCAGGCCGCCGAGCACACCGTGTGTGGGTCACAGGCTCTGCTTCTGGAAGCTAAAGTCCCTGACACTCACTTCTGGGTCGCCCCCAGGCTAGCTTAGGTGCCCTTTCCAGCTAGAAGCTCCAGAAAGTGGCTTTCACATGAGGAGGGTCGCCGGCTTCCCCTCCACCCTTTGCCCAGCGTTGGTACAGTGATGGCCAGCAGCATTGATTACTAATCTTTTTGCACATACATTAAAGCAAATGTCATTGTCAAAGTCAGGAACCGCGAATACAGTGCTGATCCAATGCCACTGGCCCCCAGGCCCTAGGCCCCAGGCCCCTGCCTGGTTCAGCTTGACCAAGTGCTCTGCAGACTGGAAGTGAGGGCTTTACGCAGAACATGCCGCGAACGCTGTCTTCTGTGATCATCTGGGCTGTGGCTGTCAAAAACCAGTGCAGGCCACATCTGTAATTTTAAATATTCTGGTAACCACACTAATGGTTTCAAACGATGGAATTAGTTTAATAATTTTGTTTAACCTAATGCACAAATATATCACGCAATACATAATCACTGAACGGTCACTAAGGTATTTTATGTTTTTCATCCATAGTAAGACTTCAAAGTCCAGTGTGCACTTCCCAGTGATAAAACGCCCCAGTCTGGACTCTATTTGCAGAGCTGCTGGTGGCCACCTCGGCAGACTACTGTCGGGTTTCTTTACTTGTGTTTTCAGACGGTGCTGGGTCACACGCTGGGTGAGACTTAGGAGTTCAGGCCCATACCTGCACAGGCGTGTCCCACACCACACACAGGAGGGCCCGCACATGCCGCTCCCAGCCCCTCTTCACCCCAGCCTCAGCCCCACAGTCCGGTTTCCGGGGCTGGCCTTCGCGCTGTTCTCTGTTCCCTGTCCAGATACTGCACCTCTAACGCTGGCTTGTGCGTGATGCAATATTGACAAACCGGGACGGGCTGGCTCCCAACGGCCAGGAGAGGCCAGTCTGGGGCAGGCGAGGCCCGTGCAGCGCTTCTGCTGTCACAGTGCCCAGGGCAACGCCTCCCCGCAGTGCCCGGGGGCCATGTCGCATAGCACCTTGTCCCAGCCTCACATGTGCTCAGGAGAATGAAGACCTGGAGAACCTGGACGGGACGAGGCGCAGAGTGAGGGCCCAGTGAACTGTGCTGGTGGACCGGGGGTGTGCTGGTGGACCAGGGTTGCGCTGGTGGGGGTGCACTAGTGGACGACACAGTGAGAGCATAAGAGAAGAAGAATGTTGGTGACTCAGCCTTTTCCTTAGACACTTAATAAGGTCATAGAGTATAACCGGAACAATAACCTCACACATATAAGTCTACTTCCTTGAACTTTCTGATGATCTCAAAAACAGAAAGGTTGGAATTGTACTGACACTAGAAAAGTTGACTGCGTGCCGTCAGTGGACTGATGGAGGGCTGTGGAGATTCAGGCGACTGGGTCCAGCTACAGCCCCAGATGCCGCACCCGATGCCTCCATGGTACAGAGCGGCCCATAGGGGCTGTTTGAGCCCCAGGGGACATATGGCTGAGACTCAGCTAGTGAAGGACTCAGCTCCTCAGCGCTGGACCCCTACGCGGGAGACGGTGACTTGCTCAGCATGTTTGAAGGAGGCTGTAGGAAGAGGTTTGTGTCTCAGAAACCTGGGAGGACAGTGGCTGTTCCTGAAAGGCGCAGGGCGGGTATGTCCTCACGGCCTGGGAAGTGGCACGCAGACGCTCTGATGCCCAGGCCGGGAGGGGCCTGCAGCATGGTGGCAGCAGACGCGCAGCGGCCATGTGCTCCCAGAGTGCAGTGTGAATTCAGATGGGGATGCTCAACGGGGTGACGCTCCCCAGGGTGGGGGGGTCTAGGCAGAGTTCGCAAAGGGGTTCAGCTTCAGCTGCAGGGCAACTAAGTGTAGCAAGGAGCTCTAACGTTCTTGGTGCGCCATAAATTTCACTTCTAATGCAGGGGTGAGGATCAACCCCATGCATGTTAGAAACATGGAGCATTCGCTGGCCCCCGAGACTATGGAGAGGCGCTGAAACACAGCATGGGTAGGCTGGGGCACTGTGGGCGCCCTGGGGCGCTGTGATGGGTTGGGCTGTTGAAGGGCTGGAGTGGAGTAAAGTATATTCACTGCTTCCGGGACCACGCTGTTCTGTTCAGTCCTCCCAAACTGAATTTTACTTTTCTCATAGGACTTTTCTGTGGTTGATGGTTTGAGAGGGAGGATTTGTCTTTTACATGACTCATTTCTGAGGAAAACATACCTAGGCTCACAGAAAACACACACACTACTCCCACAGCGCCACAGAAAGCCCAGAGGCCAGTTATGCCCCATGGAGACATTTCCACTTTTCTTCTCTTCCTTGAAATAATTTTAAAAAATATAGGAAAGGTCAAGGGAGGCATTTTGGAAAGGCTCACAAGTCCATGGTGATGGACAGAGAGATTTCTCCAGAAAACATGCCAAGGACATGCCAAGCAGACCCTAAAGTGGGAACAGGGTGATAGTCGGGGGCCTTCTAAGTGGTCGAGTGGCCCCACATGGCTGCGTGCGCATTTGCTGGCTGAGGGTGACCCCGTTGAGACCCGCAAGGGGTCTGACACCGCAGGGTGTCACGCCCTTAGTCCTAGAGCCGGGTCACGGCCTGCAGAGGTGGGGCTCTGGTCGACATGAATTCTGGATTTGCTGGAGTGGAGTGGAGTTGCTGTGGAGTGGAAACAGGCAGGTAGGGATCCTGACACACAGTAAGATCTGCCTTAGGCGTGGAATGGCATTGTGGGGGTACTGGGGGGCTGGGGGCCATAGGATCTGATTTGCTTGCGTGTTTTCATAGGTCTCGTACCCTGCTCGTGCCTACTCCTGTAGGAATCATCCACATTATCACAACTTCTCCCCCACTGCCTCCCTTGCCCCATCTCCCTCGTCCTCCACGAGCCTCAGAAAGCCACCGCGTTTTATTAGTGTCTGCCTGTTTCTGTAAGCACTTTGCTTTTCGGACCGCCCACCACGCCTTTGCCATGTGACACCTCACATTTCCTTCTGACTGACGAGTCTTCCTAGTGTGGCCCGATTTTACCTGAGCCCTGTCAGAGGTCCTCCCACAGCCCCTTGAGAGCCCGCCTGGACTGGCCTTTTGACTGCCTCCGTAATATCTGATCTTTTTCCTGTGTCCTTGCATGAGATGTTCCATGCTTGTTGTGCTCACCGTCTGAGCCTTGGATTTGCCATTTAAGGAACCTCATTTTCCTCTAGCAAACGATGTTTAGAAGTCAGATCCAGGTGCTAGGAATGCCAACTGCTAGTGTTCCTGTTCTCAGGCCTTCTAGTGGGAAAAGTGGGGCCTTTGCACAGGTATTTGCATATACTTGTGCACAGACACCACAGACACAGACACGCGCACTATTGCCTACCTGCCTGTACACCCTCACCGCAGTTCTGCAGCCAGTCTTCCCTTTGCATGCACCGCCCTGATTCATTTTTGTATACATGCAAGGAACTTTCACAAAAGTTAGGGTACTTCAAATCATTGGCATCTCAGATCATTGGAAAGAAACTTGAGGTACTAGCAATTGCATTTTCCAAGCTAAGCCTACATTGAGTAATTAAAAGTATTAGCACCCCTTTTTGTGACTTACACCCTGAAGTTAGAAGTAAAGGGTTAGTGAAATGCTTGACTTCGTAGCTAGCTGATGAGGTGCGTCTGGCCCTGGGGAGCGGGTCTTACTCACTCAGGGTCTCTCTGTAGCTCCATAAGGTAACCTTGGCGTGCAGGCTGCTTCCTCCCAGCTGGGAGTGACCCACATGGGCGAGCAGACCCCTCTGTGCTGCTGCTGCTCCTCCGTGTGTTGCAGAGAACGTGTGTGAATGTGAGCATGCATCTCCTTCGGTTTCTCCTACCCCCAAGTACTGATGACGGGCGGCCCAAGGGTGGCTGCTGTGCACCCACACAGTGGGTCTGCATCCTAGGTGGGGAACATGTAAGTTGGAGCACGGCATTCCAGACTCCCCTGGCTGAGGTCCTATGGGGGGGATGAGCCAGGAACCCACAGTCATGGGTTAGGATTTGTTTCCTTGGAACTCTTATCCTAAAGAGAAAGAGCAGTCAGTAACTCCGTGTGTTGCCATCTCTAACCTGGAAAAGTTTGCTCTGGAGAAACACAGGAGTGAGATTAGATGGCCTCGTGTCTTGAAAAGTCTGTGAAAAGCATTTGCCTTGAGATGTTCTAGGAGGTGGAATACACAACCATGGGTGGGAGCACATGCTGCAGCCCTCTAGCTTCAGCCTGGGCAAGACAGGCTTCTACAGAAATTCTTCCCATCAGCAAATCACAAATATTAATTCAGTTTTTAGAGGAAAAAAATTTAATATATTTTATCTTATTATACATTTCCCCTAAATTACAACATCAATAGCTGCAAATATATTCTGCTACAAAGCTTTCTGTAAGAAATATCTCTATAAGAAAATACATCTCATTAACATTTCCTGTAAATAAATTACTTCAAATAATAACTTTGGAAGGGATGTACATAAGGAAGAAAATGCAGAAACCAGACTGTACATGGAACCGCTACGTAGGAAGCAGCGGGCTGAAATGCCCATGTTCACGTCGCCAAGCCAAGCGAGACCTATCAGGGCAGACTTGGACCTTGCTCAGTCAGCTTGTGACTCGCTGAGCAGGCGTGTGGGGACACGGTCAGTCTACTCCACCCTCGGTGTGTGCGGGAAGCTGGACCCAACAGGCCTGCGGGCCCAGGTCCAGTTTCTACTTGGGGGACTCGAGTTGGACACAGCAGATGGGTTAGAAGAACGTTAAGGGGTGTCTTGCAGCCTAAAAGGAAAGTAGGAAAAGTGATAACTGCAAGAGACCTTTTCTTTATGCTCTAGACATAATATTTCAAACTGAGTAAATTAAAAGATAATAAGTTGGTGTCAAGGAATTTAGAACCTGTGACTTCTACAGAGTGACATATGTAGACTTCGTAAGTCACTTCATTTGTATTTTCAATCAGAGTGGCTGCAGGAACAAACTGTGTCTTTGGCAGTAAGTAGCTGCTGCGGGGATGGTCTGAGGCTGACAGCTGGGCTGACGGAGGCTGTGGGGCCTGACTGTCCCACGGCCCTGGGTTGTGCCTCACAGCGAGCTCTGCTTAGGGCCTCACCCGTAACAGCTGTCTGAGGTCATGGGACCTCACACTGCGCTCCTCTGCGTGGTAAATGTGTAACGCCAATCCCGCAGAGAGTTTTTTGCAGCCGGCTGGCAGGCTGCCATAGAGAAGGCGACCTGCTCCCTCAGGAGACGTGCCTGCTGCCTGAGCTCCCATGCCCCTGTGCCGTCGCTTGGGACTGCGTCTCGCTGTGCCAGCCCTCCCTGCCAGCCTGCAGGGCTGTGAGGACACGTGCAGCTGCTAGTTGTAGCCAAGGGGATGCCAGGACTTCAACAACACGGTCTTCCTGTCACAAGCTGTGCCGCCTCCACACTGCACACCGCATGGGGCGCCGTGCGTGGACAAGCGCAGGCGCACTGGGCCGCGCCGAGACAGCTCACTACTGTCAGCCCGAGTGGGTGCTCTGCCAGCGGGCAACCTAAATTCTTGAGAAATGTGAGTGGGCAGTTGGAGGGCAAACCAGATTTTCTATAGGCCTTGGCTTCTTTTTATTCAGGGGGTTAGAGGGGCTTACCAGGGTGCTTTTTTTTTTTTTTTTTTGAGTGGGCAGCAGAGGAGGGTTCCACAGGAGAAACGGCAGGCTGCTGCCGGTGGCACATGGACGGTGCCATGCGTGCTTTGGCACTGGGCGTCCTGGTCCAGAGCCTCTCAGATGCCAGGGTGTGGGGCTCTTTGTGTGACGCTGTAACAAACTAGAAATATGGCTTTTTGGCTATTTTCAGAGGCAGTCACCAACCTGAAGGGCCATGTCCCCAGGACCACCAGCCCCTGGGAAGTCACTGCCATGCTCTCATGCTTTCCACCATGTGCTCTTTCCTCCAGTAATGTCACTGCCACGAGCATGTACGCTATTTACATAAGTGGCCTGCGTCACAGAAACGTGTCGGCCGGCGACGTCCTGGCCCCTTCCACCCCCGCTTCTCTCTTCCTCCCGTTCTGGCCAGCTCTGACGCTGCCGTCCCGCTGAGCTCCTCTGGCCCCCGCTGTGTGTAACACACTGGGCACGCCGCTCGGGTGCGCGGGTGGCCCGCGGGCGGCGGTCAGACGTTCTGGCACACGTGGAGCCTGGCCTTGGAGGGGTAGCTGGCGTCCTTCCACACTCTGCACGCCAGCCCCTTGGCGCAGTCGCAGCGCTGGAAGATCTCCAGCCCGTGTGCGCCCTTCTTGCGCTGCTTGGTGCAGACCTCCCCCTGGTGCAGCACGGGCTTGCAGATCTTGGTCCAGAAGTGGCGGGCGCAGCAAAACCCTTCCGTGCAGTCCGAGGAGCGGAGGCAGGGGTCTCCCTCATGCCCTGCGGAGACCAAGAGACCGGACCCGACACTCAGTGATCTGCTCTCACATGCACTGTCTTCCCTGGGGCCCGCTCACGGGAAAACTTGAGCTTCCTACCCACTGGCTCTGTTGAAAAGCAGAAACCTACTATCCGCTTCTATTAGCGGCCGTGCAGACGCCAGGCGTCGTGCATCGCCAGGTCCATGCTCTGTCTTCCTCCACTGGGTTGCAGTCTGTTCGTGGACCTTTCTGCCCTTGTTGACTTTCGGTTTAACAAGGTGAGCGGATAGTAAACAAAGGGCTGCTTCCCAGTGAATCAGTTTAAGCTCAGGGAAAGCAAAATCAGCAGATTTGAAGGGAAGGCTGTACCTAGGCCCTGGTAGAGCATCAGTCAGTGCTGTGCCTGGAGGGGACGCTGAGCCAGGACAGGGGTGGTGGGCACAGGGCTGGAAAGCCACCCTGCCTGAGGCTGAGGGCCCTTGTGCACAGACTGGGGACTCCGGGCGCACAGGCAGGAGCCAAAGCCCGGGCCAGGGCTCAGAAGCCAGCAAGGCCCTGCCTGGGCAAAGAGGGCCCTCCTGCTTCTCCTCCCTGTCTGCACCGCTGGTGAACCCCGGCCAAGGAGTGGGGGGGGGGCATGGACAGTCGCAAGACAGAGAGGAGCTGAGGGAGAGCAGCCAGGCCTGGCTCACCGAAAGGGGTTACTGGCCTTGGGAGAGCAGGCACCTGGCCAGCTCATTCACAGGAAACTCTGAGCTGTGGCCACGGCTCGCCTCCAGCCAGGTGGCTGCAGCCTACCCCAGGGCTGCTGCAACAGGTAGTCGAGGCTGCTCAGGCCGCGGCACTTGAGCAGTGTTCATGGACTCCCCAGCCTGGGCGACGCGCTCACAGCTGATCTGGACACGCGCCTGCATGCTGGGGAGAGTGCCCCCAGCGCACCTCCTTGGGCCTCCTTCGGCCAGGCAGGTGCGCAGCATCGTGAGCAGGTCAAATGGCCCAGTAAGGAAGGGGGTGGTGGCCCTGCAGAAACCCACCAGGACATTTTCCTTTTTCTCCCCATGGAAGTCGGTTTACAAATAATGTTTTAATAGTTACTTAGTGAAATAGTTTCAGAAGCTGAGAAAAAATTTTCCAATTAGGAAAAGTGTATTATCTGGTGGTTGAGTGGAATAAAGTTCCTGAATCTGCAGAGATGAGAAAAAGATGCTGGAGCCTCGTGAGCAGTCATGTGACAGCAACACCCTGTTCACTCAGGGACCCTCAGACAGAAGTGCTAGTCTGGAGCGTCCTCAGCTCCCTGTGAGACAGACTCCCCCAAAAGCCGGTGAGTGGTTGGAGCGGTGAGATGCCCATGGCTGTTTTCTAGCCATGGAAGATGTCTACAGCCCTCGGCATTAATAAACATAGCTGGATATTAGCACTGAAGTGAGAGAAAGCGACTTGTCTTTTTTCTAGCTCATACAGAATCGTCCATGTTTTCTTTGAAACACGGACAAAGCAAAGCCGTAGCGACAGGCGGGCCTACCTTTCATGTGTGACATTTTCGTGTGTGGTCTTCCTAGGTTCTGCCAGCCCAGGTCGTGGTTCGAGTAGTGGCCGTGGTTCCGCTCTCGGTGCCGGGTGCCATCCAGGGCCGGGATATGAGGCGTCAGGATGCTCTCTGTCACTGGGATGCAGATGCCTGCAGATGGCCAGTAAGCGGTCAGTCAGCCCGTGGGGTGCAGGCTTAGCCCAGATATGCTCCTGATGCGAGGGGTGAAGCATTTATCCACCTGCCCAGCTCCCCATCAGTCTGTTGGCCACGTCTCCATAGACAACTTGCCCTGTCCACCTCTCTGTCAGCCTACTGATCTTATGCCTGCTAATCACCTGGCAACCTGTCAGTCTGTTGGTCATGTTACCAATCACTGGCATCGTCTACCTACCTGGGACAGAGTACTGCGTAGTTTGGCCAGGCTGCCTTGATTGAAATAATGTCTGTCAAGACTAAGTGACTTTGGGCAAAAGTAGGAGTAGAAACAGAATTCCTGTCATTAAGTCATAACTAGCTGTGAAGGTTGAGCCATGTCATGGGCATGTGAGATGATGCCAGGCAGCCCCACCGCCAGCGTCTCCTGCCCACTGCCACGAAGCCAGGTGTGGAAGTCCAGGACAGATGAGTGGACGTGTGTTGGAGCATTTTATATGCCGAGTGCATGATTCTGTGACCTTCTGCCATGATGGGCGGCATTTAGCAAGTGCTCAGCTCATCACTAATCCTGAGTTGTCTGGGATTTTACTGGGGTGGGGTGAGGCGCCCGGGCCGGCTGCCGTAGATATCTGGGTTGCCTTCGGGGAGATGTCCCTCGACTACATCGGAGTGTGCGGTAGGGCCCGGCGGGATGTGGGGAGGGCTGAGAGGACATGCTGCCTGTAAGGGCCGAGGCTGAGACTGGCGGACAGGATTCTTCGGCAATTTGCACGGATCTGTGTGTCAGTCAAGTGGAACTGACCTGGACAATCCCGGGCCAGCACAGACTGCCGGGGTCACCCAAGGCTCATACCCCGGAGCGCTAGGATTTGGGACATTTAGGCCTTCTCGCCTAAATCTAAACCAGCTCTGCCCCCCGGAGCCCATGGGGCCTGGCAGCACAGTCACCGTCCAGTGGGTGCCGGCAGCGCCACTCACCGTTGTTGCAGCGGGTGCCAGGGCAGCACATGCCGTCGCGGTGGCAGCGCTTCTTCTTCCTGCGGCACGCCGTGCAGGCCGAGGGGCCCTGGTGCGGGCTGTGGCAGTACCTGCCCACCTCACACTCCTTGTCGCTGCTGCAGGGGTAGGCCTGTGGGGCACCAAACAGAGGGTGAGTGCCCAGGCCGCTCTGCAGGGTGGGCGGGGGAGGCCGCTGCAGTGACCTCAGCCTGACGGATGCGGAGAGGTGGCTGGGACAGAGGTGCTGAAGGTATACGGTTCACTGGCACTGCTGGGCACACAGGATTAGACTGCGCTGCTTAGGCGGGCCTGCACACATGATGGGGGGCTAGTCTGATGGGGGTGGGGGGCAGTCGGTGGAGGTGGCCAGCTGGTGGAGGTGGACCAGCTCAGTCCCCTAAGCTGCTGGATCTGTCTACCGAGCCGGGTGAAAAAAAGGTTAAACAACAGAGAATGGCCTCTGCTGAAGTGTACCGCATCTCCTGCACAGGGATGGACACATATTTTACTAGTGACTCCTCAGTTCAGCCTGTGAGGAGCAGCGGGGAGCCGTTGCCAGACGGCCGAAGCAGGGATCTCTCTGGCACAGACAGAGGAGCTGCGTCCTCCTTCCAGCTTGGTGAGGGTTGCTCCATTGTGACACCAGGCAGTGCCTCGCACTTAGAGCAGGACTTGAGTCCTCTCACCCTGTGAGACCTGAGGTTGTCAGCCATGTGACCTGTCAGCTCTCAGTGTCCACTTCTGTTCCCCGGTGACGTGACCCTGGCCTGGCCTCCCGGAAGTGGCCAGAGAACTACACGTTCCCTGTGCGCAGACCCTGGAGCTGGGAGGCAGACCGTGCCGCCCTCCCCCCCCACCCCCCAGCCGACAGCACATAGCAGGCCTTGTGCTGTGTGCAGTCGAGAGCAACGGCTTCCTGGGGCCTCGGTTTCTCTGTGGTTCTTTATCCCTGAATTGTCAGAGAAAAGATGCTTACCTTTTTAAATAGAAAAGTGCATGAAACCAAAAGAAGCCAGGCCATGGATAGGAAGCAAGTACATGAGGTGAGAATAGGAACGTAGGGTAGAATTTCTGCGCCTACACTGCCAGTGTGGCTTGAATGCTTCGCTTCTGAAGTAGGGTCCAGACCTGACTGCACACATGCCTCCTCCCACACCCCTCTCCTACACCGCGTGGACACGCAGCTGCCCGTGCTCAGCACTGAACCCGGGCGCCTTTGTCTAGAAAGAGGAAATCACTCAGAGCAGGGCTGTCAGGTGCTGCCTAGGCTCCAAGGAAACCCAAGCAGGCGCGAGCTCAACGCTACATTGCTCCTGAAGGCCGCACCGTGCCTGGACTGTCATGGAGCCACGCCGATCCCTCAGGTGAACATGGGCCTTCTTGTCCCATCCGGGAACCTCATCGGAAGGCTTAAAAAGGATCTCGGTGAGGTTGAGTCCAGAGTCTTAGGCCATTTTTCAAGCACCCAAGGCTGATGAAAACAAAACAAATGTCACTTCCCTCCTTGCCACATTCTTCCCCCGAAGCACTTACTCCCTCACATTAAAAGCTATTAATTTTAATAGAAACACAATTCACATGTTTCTGATTCATTTACATCTATTTCATCAAATTGTTTCGCAAGAAACATTTGATGTCTTAAAAGTTTTCCTTCCTCAAAAATAGGACATGTTCTTTCAACGGAAATAAACACGTGCCCGGAAATATCATGTGCAATTCACAATTCAAATAACAAGTCTTAAGGGATCCTGAATATAAAGGAAGACTTGATTCCATCCCTGAAAAAAAAACAAGTCTATGCAGTAGAAAGTTAGTGGTTTGTTAAAGTAACAATTTATGCAGAAAACGGAGGCAGGCATTGTCACCCTCTTCCACTTTCAGCAGCTGAAAGCATAATCCATGATATGGGAAGTGCTTGATACAGTGGTGACGATACAGATCGTCAGAGGCACAGAGGTCCTCTACTTGAATACTGTCACCACAAATTCTGTTTTTACAGAAAGAAACTCAGTTTGTCCAAGAGGAAATACAGGAGTGAACTTGTAGTTTTATTAGGCTCCAAGTTAGCATTAGTTTGAAATAGAAATGACGTAGGAAGAAAAAGTATGCAGTGAACGTTTTTTAATGGTAGGTTACTGCTGATGTGCCTTGTCCCTGGAGTGGAGTTCCAGAGCATACACATTTAGAGGAATTCTTTGACAACTGAATACGTAAGTTTTAATAGTTGAAATGCAAGGGTGTACTACAGTGCACGCATGAAACTCCTGGTTCCAATAAACGGCGCGTATCCATGAATAAAATTAAGAAAGTATGAGATAACGCGGCTGAATCAGGTGTCGGGAAGGGAAATGGCATTGGGGTATGCCTTCCCTTCCACAGTCTGCGTCCTCAGCACAGACCTACTCAGCCATGCTTTTTTCTTGCGTAACTATTAGTGAGAACATGAGAATGGGAAGAAACATGGGTGTAGCCCATGAATAGCGAGTCCCCTGTTTCCAGCCTAAGGCGTCTTACTCAGTGAAGAGTTTCAAACAAAGCATTTTCGAGGCCATGAGGATGTTGTTACTTTCTTCTGAAGCTCTTCCTACATTAACCCCACAGTGTCTGGAAATGGGATCAGGGTAGGGGACAGACATGACTAAGGTAGTGATGGAAGGTCTCGAGAAAGTGATCAGAGCATGGCGGGGGAGCAGGGAGAATCACATACTTGTCTAGGTGCTGCTGGGGCTCTCCCAACCTCAAGGCTGTCCCAGGTCTCGCGCAAATGTGTTACCTTGTGACAAGTAGAAAGTGAGTAGAATTCCAGTATCTTAGTGTCCATTTCCATTTAATGCAAACAATGATATCTTTCCCTGGTGTTGATTTTACAACTGAATCCTAAGATGTTTTCTTCTACCCACTATGAAAGTTATCAAGAACCGGACATATGGAGGCTCTCCATTTACTTCACTTGAGTGGGCCATCTGCGCAGGCTAGAAAGGAGGTAAACGGATGAAGAGAGACTGCAGAGGCCTGCAATGGAAAAAAAAAAAAAAAAAAAGACCCACGCTGAATGCAGAAGTGTGGCTGCAAGTGGCCGGGGATCACCCTCCTCACGGAGAGAGCTGTTCATGACGGGGGCTCACCTAATAATAGCAGAGCTGGGTCACAGATTAAGAATGTGTGAGCAATGTCTGTGATCAGCCACGAAACAAAGTTGCATTGCCCAACCCCCTTTTTGGGCTAAAAATAGAATGGTTTCCATAAATAGCCATGCTAGTTGTCAGGACAACCAGGACAGAAACTTAAAAAAAAAAAGAGTGAGCACATTGGACACAGCTTGAAAATAAAGCCTATCAGACATGAGCATTTCTTTCAGTAGGAAGGATTTTTCTAAGCCCATTTCCTCTGTGCTAATTTGGAATCCGTGTTTAGAGTTTTGGGAATGAGGTAAGGAGAGATTCTCAGCCACAGAGCCTGGCCAGGCCTCTACAAGTCATGGGTGGGTGTGCGGCAGCATTGGATGGTAACGCTTGACAGACACATGGAGAAGGCATCTGACGGTGGGCTTGGTTCAGAGATGAGAAAAATGAACGTGGCCACTTCTAGAAGCCTCCAAATTCCAAGAGCCAGCTCGGCTCACAGCTGTTGCAGGGACAGGACAGTGGCAGGACACGAGCTCAGGAAGCCACCCTTTCTCATCTCAGTTTGGTCTGCTCGGACTTCGTGTGAGCGGCCTTACAGGTGAAGGGCTACGGCCAGAAAATGCCAAATCCTATCTAACCTGCAGAAACAAAATGAAACCGACTGTGCCCTACTTCAGCTAACTGAGATTTTCTTTCGTTTAAGTCCCAAACTGCAGGGAGAAAATGCCTATTAACTTGAGACTTCAACTTAGGTTGCATTGATTCTCTCCTGCTGATTACTACCCATCCACTAGAACATGCAACAAGGCCAAAAAGGTATCCCCACACCCCACACGCATGTGTCCTGAGACAAGAAAGGGTCCTGGCGCGCTCTGCTGCACTAACCTATCAACCTGTTTTGGCCACAACCCAAATGTGAGTTATCTCTTGAGTTTCTATTCCTGTTGTGATGGGGGAGGGTGGGCAGAGAGGACAGGAACATCACACTGTCCATGTGGGAGGCCACCGTCCTGCTTCTTGAGAGAGAGACTGACCTAGTTTTGCTGCTGTTCTGATGGGAACAACACTTTGTTGCCTCTCACAAGTTGTCTGGAGCCAGAAACGTGTCATCAGCGGGAGAGGCGGGGTGGGAGTCAGCCAGCTGTGGGAACAAGGCACGATGCGGGGGCGCTCGGTGTGATGGAGGTCAGTAGTGACAGCTGAGAAACCAAAGTGGTTGGCCTCCCCAAAAAGGTTGTTTCCTGCACACCATTGTTCCATTGGCAGGGCCTGGGACCTTGGAGCAGGCCGGGGTGGCCCCCTGGTCCAGCCTCAGGGGCGCCTTGTGTTCTGCCACCACAGGCCTACGCTCTTTCCCTCCTGTGTCCACACAACCTGTGGAGGACACTGCGAGATGGCTCCAAGGGTCCCAGGGCAGGAAGCCTGGAGGACTGAGGTGTTTTGAGCTCGGCTGTTGGACAAAGTTCTGGAGCTGGCAGCAGGCAGCTTAGTGGTTTTCCTTACAGGTGTCTCCTGCAATCGCCAAACCAGCGTGAGGAGTGGCAGATGTGCGCCTTGGTGTTTTCTAGTGTTTGTGCGGCATCCAATTCCCCTTTGTAGTGACAATGAGTGACAGCAGGGTGATCTGAAATGTGACATACTTACAAATTACTGATTTGATTACAAACTATATTCTTGATTGTTACGATGTAGGTCAACAGTGGTAATCCTTCTGTACCCAAATGGCAGGCCATGCTCAATTTTGGAATGCTGGGTTTTAGTAGTTCTTCACTCGCTGCATCTTCAGTTGAGAAAGGAGGGTATGAGCATCCTGGGAAGGAGGGCGCGTGCATGAGGTTATCTCAGGCTATCTCCAAGTTTCCTCAAGGAAGGTGTGACAACTTTCCCGGGGAAGCGTAGCAGGTTGATTACTCATGGTTACTTTTAATTGAGGGAACATTCATTTACGATGCCACATAGGTTTCAAGATTACATTTCACCACAACTACCATCAAATGTCCATTTG